AACGTTGCGAGCACTTCAATCCACAAAGAATAGTTACAAAGAAAAAAAAAACTTTCCACAGTGATCCCATTAGGATTATTTTTGCCTCTCAGTGCTTTTGTTCAAGGATCTAATTTGGCTTTAAAGAAACATTTCTTTGGGCAGTCTTTAGCAAAATAGAAAAAATACCTCACCAGATGGACTCACTTTCTCTTTTCACTTCCTTCTTTCCAGAGTGTCCCGATTTCATCAGCCTAGGATCTGCCTGTTTACTGCGGGTTTGAAGCACTTCCCTTGGGTCTATCAGGGATTTTGCAATGTCCCTGAGACCAGCAAGGTTTTGTCTTCCTGATCACTGTCTCTATGGGACGGTTTAGGTCTCAATGGACCCCCCAGTGGCAAGTGTCAACGGCGGTCTCAGAGTATCGAGACCGCACGTTGTAACATCGCAACGTAGCTCCTCCTTCTCTGATTTTTATCTTTTTGAATACAATAGTGTCTGTATCAAAACTTATACATAAGGCATGATGCAGTTTTTATTGGTGCCCTGTTAATTTAACTATCAATAACATATTATATTATATTATATTATGGCTGAAATTCTGATGAAAATCTGAATATACAGTATTTTACTGTCACTGTCTTTTCAAACCTTGACTTTTCTAATACTTCGGATTAATCTTTAGAGTGATATTTCCCCTCCAATAATTCCATATCTATTATAATATTTTTTCTTTATTTGTTTTTTTGGGGGAGAGGGGTGCTTTCATATCTGTTAACTCCTGGTGATTGACTGGATGAGTCCCTGCCATTTTCTTGGCAGCATTTTCAGAAGTGGATTGTCATTGCTTGCTTCCTAGAGCTGAGAGAGATTGGCACAAAGTCACCCAGCTAGTTTCTTTCTTTAATGTAGAATTAGAACTAATCATCTCACCTTTCACCAATACACTAAACCAGTTCTCTTTTTGAATTTAGAGATACTGTGTGTTGTTTTGTCTTCATACAAGCTAGTTTGCTTTGACTTCTCAGCATTTGAGAACATGAAAGATAACAATAGCGTGCCATGCTTGATAAAATGTATTTGGAGAAAAAGTGCAAGAAAGATAAAATTCTGCTTAATTGCACTGGCTGCAACTTAAGCACTATATCATACTATTGCTTCCTTGCTTTTCTTTGTATCTCACACTCACTCACACACCAGCATGTGATTATCTTATCCATAGCCCATTAATACAATACAGTTCTTCCCTATCATGAACATGCATTTCGTAAGATTAAACACAAGAAATGGATTTTACCTTCTCTCTCAATTTCAAATACTCCAATGGCATCTTCAGGTGTGAGACACCGGAATTCGCTTGCAGGAAGAGTGTGTCGACGCTGGCTCCTAAGGGAGTTTTGTGAAGATCTGAGATAAGAGGATTTGAAAAAGGGCAAAGCACTGATCATAGACATCTTCTATGTATTTCTGCCTCTTCTGTAAATGTTTCTTCTCCTCCTTTCGGGTTTAATTCAACTGTCTCCAGCACAATTAGTCAGCAGATGAGAAGACCTGCAGAGATTGCAATGTTTTCTTTTTAGGAAACTGACATGACCATTAGCTTCTGATCCTTGTTGTCATACCCACTGAGGAACAGAATGTCTATCAAGTTCTTTATTCCTTTAAAGCTCACAAAAGCAGAGTGTATCAAACATTCAAATGCTAAGGCACAGCTTAAGGCAGATTGCGGGTGGGGGGGAACCAGTATGGGATACTGGGTATCCTTTGTGGCTCTTCATAATTTGTAAATCAGATATTTTCAAGCACTCATGTGCTGAGCTTCCTTCAACCACAAGCAAGACACAACTTCACACACACTCACAGACACCCCCCCCCTCAAGAAACATAATTATTTTAATGAGACTCCTAAGTAAGATTGAGTAAGAATAAGTAAAAGTAAGATTTCCCTTACAATACATGCAGCCTATTGTACATTTCATGATCTGTCTACTTTCCGATCTGTGAAATAGGTAACTTGAAGTAGAGGATGGCACACATAAAGTTCAGCTTCTACATTTTTCTCTATATTTGTTATATTTGCTATATTTGTTATTGAAGGATGAATCATCAGGCATGCTATGTGTCTTCAATTACATAGTGAAGCATAGAGTTTGTGTAAATTATAGGTTCTTGTCCAAAGCTGATATTTTACCTCCTGGTGTACTTGCAGAAAAGGAGGTTTAAGACCAAACTATTAGCTACCTCTGAACAAGTTAATTTTGCCTCTTCGCTAGAATGATCCAAATATTTAACCTTGCTTTCTTATAATGCCATGGAACTAAACACAATCTCAAATAGAGCTTTTAAAATTATGTATCACTAGCCTTATTTTTAGACAGCTTTTTTTCTTTTATAAATAATCTTCTGAACAATTAAATTTTTAATCATTGATATAGTAGTGTATATTTGCATACATATATGTATATTTTCCATGTCGAATGGCCTGTCTAGTTTGAACAGATGTCTGATGAACTATTAAATCTACAAAAATGCAATAGCCAAATCAGACTTTGATTTATTCATATTGTTTTAGGTCATCATTCCATACAATTAGTCTATTTTAGGCCAAAGCTATTAGATTTTGGGCTGTAGCTTTAAAGTGATACACACCCAGTTCAAATTCCTTCATGGAATTTTGCACAAATATGGATATGCATAGCAAAATCTAAATCTTGTGAATAACCATCAGAAGCAAAATCAGAGATATAGAAAAAAAGGGAAAACCAAAATCCTTGCACTTATGCTACCACTGAAGCTTGTTTAGCTGATATATAGTCCACTAGGTATACACTAGCTCTAGTTCATGAGAACCAAAGAACAAAACAAGCAAAATACTCATAAATGCAATATCCTCTCAGAAAAAGTGGGCTGTATCATTTGATTATCAAAGTTACAGATTACTTTAACTACAAAGATTTGTGCTATTTAATCCATGTCAATATTCATATAAAACTGATTTGGATGGGGCTTTATGACAACAATATAACACTGTGAGAACAGCGCATGCAATATGCACGTGTATGCTCTAAACACCATTTCTAACTATGCTGTTTCTTAATGTGGTTTCTGGTATGAAAAGGAACTGAAGGACAAAACAGGTGAGGGAAACTAGTAAATCTATTATAAAGCTAGCAATTAAACCTGAAAAGTGGTCATTATGTGGATTTCTTAAGTGGCCTCATCCCAACCAAACAGTCTAGAAACTAAATTTTTGGCCCTTGCAATTTTATTTCTATTATTCATGTGCATGGCTCTATGTTTTAGCATAGAACCTACAAGGGTGCTCAAGAGGAACTAGCAGCAGAGATACAGGTGGCATCAAACCTGCTACAATAATATCTAAGCCTGCTTGATTTGGCTTTGAGTAAGATTTCCCCTCCAATACATGCAGCTTATTGTACATTTCATGATCTGTCTACTTTCTGATCTGTGAAATAATTTGAAGTAGAGGATGGCACACGTAAAATTCAGCTTCTCCATGTTTCTCAAAGCTGCTATATTTGTGGCCTGCAACAGAACACAGTAGACGGATTGACTGTATTTATATAGTATCTATTTCTTTTAACTTCCGCAAAACATTTTTTCACTATCTGGGTAGCAGACTTTTTTCCTCAAACTTCAAACACAAAGGTTCAGTCATTTCAGTGATTGTTTATTTTACTATTGACAACAGTATTTCTGAGCTTTTAGAATTTCCAAAACTAACAATAAAGGATTTAAATTTAGCAATAATTTATAAGCAATCTGAGTGGATTGTCTTCTATGTTGAATGTTTGTACAACTAGGTCAGTGAAATTCTTACCCAGCTTATTGATCTATAGTAGGATCTATTCAGCATATCTCTGGAGGTTAATTACTATGCCACCCCTCTGCCCTGCCCCAGCAAAGCAAAAAAATGCTACTGTGTGCAGCATTCTTTACCTATGCAACATTCATAAGAAACAAAAAGTAATAGCAGCACTGCTGCAACGTTACATAATACAGGGTACCATAACCCCTAACCAATGGACCTAAATATTTTTTTCTGTCCATAGATAAGGAATTTGATTACGCTATGCCTCAATTTTTATATAATTATTTTTAAATTCAACATGTGCAATGTCATATAAATGGGTCTTTCTCACTAATAATCATTTTCCAGATGGTTTTTTTTTGCATCTGTTGACATTGGTAAACTCTAAGATGAAATTCCACCTCTGAAAAATTTAAATTGTAACTGTAAATTGTAGTTGCGTGGAATTAGTAATTTTGTTTTATTGGGAAATGCAAGGACATTTCTGACTATAGGTCACAATTTGATTTCCAGAAAAGTGTTCATATTTCATTTTTCCAAAGCAGAAAGCATTAAAAATTATTCAGTATATTTATTAATCACAGTTTAAAAACATGTAATTTAACTATACCAATTGGTACAGAAAATTCTTTTTGTTAATTACACAATTGTGGGAAACAAATTATCTTGGACCAGAAAATAGGTTGCCTATGACATTACTTGTCTGGTCTAAACTATTGTTTAAACTCTTTCTACTTTTTGCTTTGGGCTTATGTAATATATATTAACTTACCTAAGTTAACCTGACAAATAATCATTTGAAATTATTTAAATTATACTCCAATCCTGAATTCATTTTCTTAAAAGTACCCTTTTTTCAATAAAACCTATTATCTAAATTCTAAATGATTCTAAATCCTTGGACTCTTAGGATTTTAATATTTCATTCCCTGCAGTTAACTATCAAGCTTCTCTCACAATAACTTGAATTTTCTTGTAAACTGAATGTCCAACTACAAAAAATTGTGTGATTATATGCAAGTGCTATGTAAAAAGAATGATAACATTAAATTTGTAAGAGATTGATGTTACAATTAAAATATGCAAAACACCAGGACAAAAATACAAAGTAATATTTTCTAGATTTATAATATAAGCAAGGGATAGCAATGAGAAATGAATCTTACCTTCATATTATATTTTTCTGCTCAGATGATCTGATTACTTAACACATTACAATTTAAGCTTCTGTAATGAACAGATACTAACTTGTTATAGGAGAAACAGTTCAATTTAGCTTCTGAATGAAACTTTTCTTGACCTTGGAAATCAACTTCATTAAATTAAATTGAATTGCAGTATCTTTCTTACCTGTGTGTTGAGTTTTCTTTTAGTAATCTATTAACTTCTCCAGAATGACACTCGGCAGAATTGTTGCTAGAGAGAAGGGCAAAGAATACTGCAGTAAATGTTAATGGGGTCCCAGCTTTTATTTTCCAGAGACTTAGGGAACTCTAGCCATTACATTTGGGGTTTTTTAGTAGCACGTGATTATTTTCTTAAAACACTTTAAACCCTCAGGAGACACAGAATTGCAAAAGAGCTTTAAGATGACATGTCAACAAAAAGATTGTAGGAGGCTTTACTTTCTTGGCATGATTTTCTCCTAAGGGATAAAGTGTTTTAGCTTATTACTAAATACAAAGGGCATCTTACAAGCCACAGGGGAATAGCTAAGCAGGGCACATGGGCAGAGTACTGGTGGAACAAAAGCACATTGCATACACTCTTCCTGGAACTATTCATTCTCAAAGGACATCCTGCTTGAAAGTGAATATACTCAATCAATATTACTGTAAATATAATTGCCTTCCTGGAATTGCCTTTGATCCATAAATTGCACCAACTAAATTGTTCATTATTATCACATTAACAAATAGGTTAATAACATCTCTTCTAAATATTTTTCTAACAGTATGAAATTGTACTGATATGTCTTTAATATATTCAGTTATCTGTGATACATACACAGAATATAAACAAGCAGCAAAAAAGTAGCACTGAGATTAGACTGACAATGGAGACCACAAGAAACTACTGTATTTTTCAGTGTATAAGACACACTGGAGTATAAGATGCACCAAGGTTTTGAAGAGGCAATTTAAAAAAAAAAAGTTTTTGCACTCTGCAAGCTTCTCAAAACGGCCCATTTTTCGCGAAAATGGGCCATTTTTTCCAAAAAAAGGGCACAAATAGCCCTTAGGAGGCTTGTAGAGTGCTCCTGGGGGAATTGGGGGGGGGAGTGAGCAAAAAAGGTCCGTTTTTCACAAAAACGGGCCCGTTTTTTGTTTTTTTTTAAAGGGCATGAATAGCCTTTAGGAAGCTTATAAAGTGCTCCTGGGGGCCGGGGGTGCAAAATTGAGCATAAAATGGCCTGGTATTTGCTCATTTCTGCCCTCCCTAGCTCCCAGGAGTTCTCTGAAAGCTTCCTACAAGCTATGCAAGGGCATTTTGGTGAAGGGGGCAGGGTTGCGGACGGCAAAAAATGCTGTATTCAGTGTATAAGACTCACCCAGATTTTTCGGCCTCTTTTTTGAGGGAAAAGGGTGTCTTAGGTATGTATGTGAGCAGGGGGTGGCCTCTGAAAAGGTAAGTATTAATCACAGTTAACTAACACAGGGAGGAGCAGGTTATTAAAAAGGGAAATGAACAATTTGCAATAATCTGGCACATAGTGTAGTTAGAGCACACAAAGGCACACAACACATGCACAAATCGTTGCTGTATGATAACTCTCTCAAAATGGCACACACAAATATGTGGTATACACTGTTACCTGGAACATTTTAAAATGCAGTAATCTATATTTCTATATGAAGTAGCAATAATAAAACATAGCAGATTTGTAGAGTAAGCATTACATAATCCCTTGACAATGTATTACAGTTTGTATGCCCATGTCTTATAAAGTAAGCACTTAGATTTGTGGCGAATTCACTGTTTTCATAGCAACAATAAATGGAGAGTATCTGGAAAAATATCAGATTAATTTATTACAAAAGATCCTCTAGGTTTAGATATAGTTATTCTCATGATAGAAAGTTCCAAAAACCTTCCATGATCAGTTTTCTTTGAAAGATAGAATAATAGAAACATTTTACACTTTTTCTAATAATATTTAGAAATATTTACGAGACTGCAGAGAAGTAAAAAAAAGGCCCAGAGCAAACAAACAAATGATACTGAATCACAGCACTGCGGGGATTTCAAAATATTACCAACCACATTTTTTTTGTAAATTTTAAAAATAAGTTTCCCCCCCGGGTCACATTTCAACTTGAACATAGTATCTTGTAGCAATATTTGTTTTTGCTGAATTATATTTAGTTTCTAGTTCCAAATTGTTTTTAGTTCCTAATTTTGCCAGATTGCTTTTAGTTCCTATCTTCTACCTTGCACTCCATGTATGCTTTGTGATGAAGTATCTAATGCTGTATCTTTGGAGTAAATTTAAAAAGATTCATACTGCCGAAAATATTTTCTGTTTTAGACTAACTCTACATGTGGAACTTTGAAAAGATTTTCTAATCTCTTCCTGATTGATGAGAATTAATGGCTTTTAACAAAGATTCTCAGAAATTTCTCTGAGCAATGCATGATGTGCTATTAGAACTCCACTATATTAAAAAGAAACAAAGTTTGTGAGATATATATGTCAGATCCAAACCAGTCCTCATTAATGAAGCACTAATAACTAATGTGCCTTTGGTTAAATTAATTAAACTGGAGTGTGTGGATAACTTCTTTAAACTAGCATAAATTGGATGGTTTTCTCATGAAATGAAATAAATATTAGATGATGTTGTATTTATATTTCAGCTAAGTTTATATGACCTTGGACTAATCATTCTTTCAGTCCTAGACAGAGGGCTATGGCAAACCATTTCCAATCTTGTCCAGAAAACTGCACGAACCTGTCTAGGCAATTGTCAGGAATCAAAACTGACTTGAAAGCATGTGCACACCCACATACCCAAAAGGATTACATGAAGCTCTGCTAATATTCAAGGACAAAGATATACCAAACAAACAAAAATGAAAACAGAGAAAATCCAAAAGGAGGCAACTATACTTATTTTACAGAAGAGTGTAGATTGTAGTCCTAAAGAACAATATTAATAATAACAAGAATCAAGCCATACCACAGTTATACAAATGAAACAATGCTGAAGGTAACAATTTAATGTGGCCCATGATGAAGACTTCTAAACTGGCTCCATAGGACAGGAGGTTAAGATAACTGAATTTTAGTTTCACATTACTATAGAAAAGGAATTAGTAAATTCCTTGAAGAGACCCAAGAACCATCTCCCAAATAAGATTCAATTCTTTCTCAGTAAATTGTATCTAGTTTAATATTACTGTATTGCCTCTGCTCTGTCTACCTTTTAAGCAAGAGAACTGAGTGATGAAAGTAATTCTCATAGATTTTATTTAGTGTTTTATTAAATTATCTAAGAGCGCCATCTATTGGAAAAAGGACAGCAAATTGAAGAGAAAGAAATGAAGGTGGGGTCTAAGGAGGCTTTTATTTTGCAATTGCTGCCTCATTCACTGTATTTCGGGGGGCAGAAAAGGAAGACCCAAATCATTGATAAAATATGTGGGTATGGAGGTTACATTTACAACTTCAATATTTCTTCCCAACATTAATTCCAATTTTCTTACAAGAAATATAATTTAAGTAAGAAATGACACAACAACTACATAATGCCTGGCAACGCTGCAGGACCACTCCCTTAAAGCATTCCAAATTTCTAAAACAGATCAGTGAAAAAATAAAGAGAGATACCACTAAATCACTATAGTATTTTATAGGCTATTAACATAGTCAAATATTACTTATTTACTTTTCCTAAATCTCTTTACATATTAATAGAATATCAGGACATCCAAAGCCAGGGATACAAATAGTTCAAAACTTTTCAGTCAAAGAAACCTGTTTTATATTCTTTTCTGCACCTTAAAAGTGCTTGCCACTTCATCCAGTATCAAACCATGGATGGAAGACGTTTTTAGTTATTGATTTGGCATTTAGTGTCAACACATTAAGACGTGATGAGGATGCTAACATGGCAACCAGGAAAACTCCATCTGGGAGAAAGCAAAAAACCTCTGGGGATAGCATGACACTCCCCAACCTTTTTTTTTAATTCCCTGGTTTATTAACCTTTCATTGCTATATCTTCTACATCGTCGTATCATACAGAGCAGCACCAGTACCTTCAGCCTTCTCAACACTTGCCTTCTCATGCATTTTCCTGCTTACAGCAGCAAAATAGATGACGACCTTTGATTAATCTGATGTGCCAAGCGAAAGAGGAATACATAATCTAATATATTCCTATGGATCCAATCTAATTTTCAAATTGCCCCAATCTCAAAATGATCCAATTTTCTCATATAAAAGCCTCCAAGCAAGGAATAGCTTTCTTTCGTAACGGGTCAAGTCAAGAAGTGCTGGTATGGTAGTGAGATGATCTTCAACTTTGCCAAATTCCTTTTGGATGTTAATCCACTTGGAAGGCAGCCTCATGGAACTACAAAGTTTCTACCACAGTCTACGATGCTCAGTTGTGGTAGCGAAAGAGTTATTCAAAGGACAAATTCATACTCCATCTTTCAGTTTTACCATTTTTCTAGCAATCCATTAAAGTTGCTACTGTTTCTGTTCATACATCCTTACTGAAAGAAGCACCTGATCCTTATACTACGGCAAAACAGTAACATGGTTTTCTTATCCAGACTGATTGCTTGGACCCACCAAGAAAAAGAAATGGGAAAATGATATATTGCAAAGCACCAGCTTCTAATTTTCACTTATTGCTTATTAACTCATTGCTTGATTTGAAAATGTGACCATCTGTAGCAAGAGTAACTTTATGTGGAAAGTAGCAACTTTATCAGTCTTGCTTCAGTTAAAATGATTGTTTATCTGACTGGCCTGAAGTTACCATATTTTTCAGAGTACAAGACACACCAAGGTTTTGAAGAGGCAAATTTTAAAAAAAAGGTTTTGCACTCTGCAAACCTCCCAAAAATGGCCCGTTTTTCACGAAAACAGGCCCGTTCCCCCCTCCAAAAAGGCATGAATAGCCTTTAGGGGGCTTGCAGAGTGCTCTGGGGCGGGGGGCAAAGACAA